GATCGCAGTCCCAAGCCGGTTCATCTCGAGATCTGGTGATAAGTGCGCAACTTTCTTCAAGAAACTCTGAAAGGCTGAAAAACTTTGAATGAACAGTCTAATGTTAGCGGGCTTTCCAAAGTCTGAAGGATTCCTTGGTGTCGCCGCCACTTCTTTAAAGCCAAAAACTGAGTGAAGGAATCTCACTATATTTGGGAGTAGGCGCCTTGGCAATTAACTCTGTGCTAGTCAGGGAGGAAGCAGGAAATCAATTTGCGCTCTACACTAGCCGAGTTCTTCGTGGCGCGAAGGTCAAGTACTTGATTATGAAGAAATAGCATTTGCTCTGATTACGTCAGCTCGTAGGTTGAATTGCTTCCCTGCTTCCAATTTAAGTGCTTTCAGATCATCCACTGAAGTCAGCGCTAACCCGATTTGAGCATTCCAATTGATTGTTGAAGTGGGTGGTAAAACTGAGTGAGTTCGACATCACATTGTCCCCTAAATAGATATCAAAGCCGTGAAGATTGTTGATTATCTTGTGGACTTCTAGGAGCAAGAGTAAACGGGTGAGGATGTCCCTACTAACCTACACCAAAATATGAGCATGAAAAGATGCTACAACTTTTTAAAAAAATTAATATGTATAATATTTGTGATATTAACAAGTTTCGTGTTATATAAATAAATATAGAAGTTTTAGAGTTAGTTATGTATATAAATTAGAATTGCGTGGCAAGTATGCAAATCCAAATTTACATTTTTACAAGGTTCAAAATCTTAACCCATCACTGGCGAGCAACAGCAAATACCACACACAGGTGTTAAAGAACATTCAAATTTTGATGCCTCCTCTTCCCTTATTCTAATATTAATCAGCTATTTGCTTTACATTCTTGATGTTGAAAATAAAAAGCTTTCTATCTTAACAAATCATTAAACCATAGTTTTTGTGCAACACAGCTTCATCAAGGCAATCATTTTCTTTCCTTTGAGGTGCATTATTCAGTCCACAAACCTTATGTATAGGGTTGTACTCGAGTCAAGTATGTCATGGATTGAACTTGACTTGATCCAATCATAAGTAGTTCGTGTTCAATTTGAGCTTGATTAGATCTTTCACTGTTCATACTTGGCTTGCTTAATTTTTTAAATTATCATACTTGATTTATACTTGACTTGTTTATATTAATTAAACAAGCTGTAAACTTTGAATAAGGACATAATTTTTCATATAAAATTAAAATTCTAATTTGTACTTAAGTTTTAATATAAAATAAATTAAAATTTTGAATGATTACTTGAATTTTTATATAAAATTATTCACAAATGATTTTACAAATCTATTCAAACTGAATAAAATTTAAATTAAAATCTAATTAATTTATATCAAATAAATAAAATAAAATAAAATATAAATTGTTACTAAACTTTCATGTAATCAAATAACATAAATAAGATTTAAAATTACTTCATTAAAAAAAAATAGATAATTAAATTAAATTTATATGCATATTGATATTAAATTATAATATATTACTATTAAATATATAATAGAATAAACTTTATTTAATCAAATTTTATTTAAAGGGATAATTACATACAAAGCACAAGAAACATTGTTATTTACAAATCAAGCACCATGGTGTTTTTTTGAGCTATCAAACTGATGCATTTACAAGTGCTAAGATCAAACTATTGTGAATTTAATAAAAATGAAAATTATGGTTTGAGGTTTACCATGACCTTTGATATTTGAGTGAGAATTTGAAAAATGGATGAAAGAAGGTGCTTGATTTGTAAATAGCAATGTTTTGGGTGCCCTGTTAGTAATCACCACTTTATTTAAGTGACATATAATATAAGTATGGAAGATTTAACAAGATACTTGCTAAACAATAAACGAGTTTCTTATTGTGAACATTAACAAATGAATTAGACTGTTCAAATTTGATTCATATAACCTAAGAGTTTAAAAACAATATTCAAACTTGTCTATTTACTAATTTGAACAAACATGATTAAATATTAATTGAACCGAATTTGAGTTGTTCGTCAAGTGCATTGATTCATTTATAACCCTACTTATATGTTAGGAGCAAATCCTCTCTCAACCATTCCCTCCTTGATAACATCATAAGTATGCTTATTTGGAACCAGACCTTTCTCTAACATCTCATTAAGCACTCCATTTGCACCTTCCATTTCACCTTTTTCACACAAACATTTCATCAATATATTATAAGTAGCAACATTGGCATGTTTCCTATTCCCCTCCATCCTTGCTTTGATGTTCAGAGCAGTTCTCAAGTTCCCTTTTTTACAGAAACCTTCCATTAATGTGTTATATGTGAGCTGATTTGGTCTCAATCCCACCTCAAACATCTCCTCAAAGAGCTTATTCGCCTTCCTCGTCTCCCCTTCGCTGCACAGTGCAGCAATCAGAATATTATAAGTTATGAGATCAGCTCCAATCCCCTTCTCCGCCATCTCATCCAAAAAGCTTCTTGCAGCTTTCATGTCTCCTTTCTCACTGAAGCCCCAAATCAAAGAGTTGTAGGTTGAAACATCAGGAGAAATCCCTTTCTCCAACATCAAATTCTTGAACTCCAATGCTTCTTTCGTCCGATCGGATCGACAAAAACCGTCAATCAAAGTGTTGTAAGTGATTACAGTCGAAACCAAACCTCGATTGATCATATCATCCAAAAACCCCATTGCCTCTCCCACCATTCCTTTCTTGCAAAATCCATTGATGATGGTGTTGAAGGTGACTGCATTAGGTGTCAGGTTTTCAATCTCCATCTCCTTCAGCAATGCAACAGCTTCTTCCAATTTGCCCTCATTGCAGAACCCATTGATCAATGAGTTATAGGTGATGGTGTTAGGAGATAGTTCCTGCCGCTTCATTTCGCCAAGAAATTTCATGGCGGCAGAAGAATTACTGTCCTTACAGAATCCATCTATAAGGGTGTTGAAAGTGACAACATTGGGATAGATCCCGGCTGAGATCATCTTCCTCAAGAGGGCATCGGCCTGGTACAGCTTTCCTCCTTGATTGCTCTTACAATACCCACCAATTAGGGTATTGTAAGTGACAACCGTCGGCTCGACACCCCATGATTTCATTTCGCTCAACAGATCCGCGGCCCTCCTTAGTTGCCCCGCCTTACAGAACCCGTTTATCACGATACTGAAGGTGATCAAATCAGGGGGGATTCTTCTCCGAATCATCTCGGAGTACACGGATTCAAATTCTCTCAACTTTTCCTCCTTAATTAGGGCATGAAGCAATGAATTGCAAGAAAGGGTCGAGAGTCTGTACCTGTAGTCTCCAGCTCTGCGGAAGGCTTCGAGGGCGGAATCTGTTTGAGAGTTGTTGACGTATGCGGGGAGAAGCATGTCAGCGATGAGGGAAGCGGAAGTACGGCGATCGGAGCAGATTGAGAGAACGTGGAAGATGGCCGGGAGGCGGTGGCGGCCGGAGACAGCTATGGAGTGGAGCTCGGAGCGGAGTTTGGAGTATAATTTTTCGGCGGCGAGAGAGTGGAGGAGACGGCAGTGGAGGTGAAGGTCGTGAGGGGATTGGAAGTGACGGTCGGACCATCGGAAGTAGGAGAGGAGAGTCGAGGCTGAGGAGCCGGAGTTGAGGAGGAGGAGGAGGAGGTGGGAGGGGTTGGTGTTGGAATCGGCGATTAGGGTTTTGAGGCGGGACCAGTGTTGCTTGTTTATGAGATTGGTGAGGGTGAGGAGGTCGTCGGCGGCGGAGAGGTGAGGGGTTGCAGAGGTGGTGGAGATTGGTCGTGTTGCGATGGGATAGCAGGAGCGCGTTTTTATAGAAATGGTCTCGCAGAAGATCTTTGCATTTTGTAGTACGTTCATCGTTCTGTGAACTGCTGAAGCTGTTAAAGGCTTAATAAATCTATCATATCTAACCCTTATGCATTAGAAATAATATTCTGTTTTTAAATAAGTAATTATTTGTTTAATTGTAAATCATAGTTTTCTTAGAACCTTAAATATTAATGGGAAAAATTGTGTGAGAATACCTAATCAAAGTTTATTTGAGAAGAAAATTAAAATATTTTGGGCTGAATGCTAATTTGATTGTATATTATATTTATTTTAAAATAAATTTAATAAGTTTAGATTTATTTTAATCAAATTATGACAAGAATTAAAAAAAAATTATGATGAGAATTTTTTATTTAATTTTTATCAAAATTAATGGAGTTGAAACTTTCTTTTTTTTTTTTGGGTGGAAAAGTAAGTCTGAAAGATAATATGTATATACGAACTCACGACTTCACGATGTAAGGATAATATGCATGATACGAACTTATGACTTCACGAATTTTTTTTCTTTTTTGGAGAGAAGTAAGCCTGAAAGATAATATGTATATACGAACTCGCGACTTCACGATACAAGGATAATATGCATGATACGAACTTATGACTTCACGATGTGCAACTACATTCCATCCTTTATTTTGCTTTATGATTTCAATCACTAAGTTTCGACTCTTATCGATTTTTTGTATAAAAACAAAACCTTAACTGCATTTTATGAAAGGAGGCTGAAAATTGTTTTAAAAAGTACTTAAGAGATAGGAAAAAGTTATTTTCTTAAGATTGAAAATAATAATAAGCTATTATAAATTTGTCAAATAAGAAACCACTTCATATAAGCGACCTTTAGGATCACCAAAATCAACTATTAAGTATAGGGATGTAAACGAGCTCAGTTTGAGTGAGCCTGAATTCAACTCGTGTTTGGCTTGTTAAAAAATATCAATGTTTGTGTTCGGCTTATTTATATATCAAACTAAAAAAAAATTTCGTGTTTGGCTCATTTGCTTAACTAGCCGAATACGAGCTATTTGCGAACGAGTCGTTTTGACAACGCTAGTCATGCAATCCTGGGATATTAAGGATAGGGGTGAGATTTAAATCTTATTATTTAGATTAAAATATTATTTAAATATAATTTAATATGTTTTTATTCTATTTTTTAAATTAATAATTTTAATTGATTATAAATCTTTGTAGCTTTATAGTACCATGTGATCATAAAGGATCGACATATTATTGCGTGAGATTCAATCGGCGGACCGCACCCGCAGTCCCAACATACCAAGACGCATGCAAGAGCCTTTAATCACAGGTTAGTCGGCTGACCCGCTTTTACTATGAAGAACGGGATCGTTATTCAACCAATGCCTTACTCGACCGAATTTAAGCAAGCCGACCAACCAGTTACCGCCATATTAGAATTCAAATTATAATACAAATATGATATAAAATCTATACGATTAATAGAGCATCAATTTTATTAAGAATGATTTTCATAACCGTTCCCTCTTTTTTGTGGTTATATAAATACACCCCTATAAATAGGAGACAAAAGGACAAATAAAGGGATCTCTTCCCGTTCTCCCTATAGTGAGTTCTTGACATATTCCCTACTTCATCTTTCCTCCTTCACCCGGCTCTAACTCTTGATGCTTGTTCATAAAAAAAAAAAAATAGAATTCAACGTCCTAATGGAGCGATGAGCGCGAACATGCCCTAGATGAGAAGTTGAGCCAACTACGAAGGAGAATCACTATAGAAAGATTTGGTGCCAATGAAATTCGACATCCTAAAGATCTTGTTAGGGAAGTGACTTAAAGTTGAGTAAATGATGGAGATACTATGATTAATTGTCTTAGAATGTGGAGTTATGATCTGAAATAGATTTTAAATTTGGAGGAATTTATGTGGGTGTTAATGAGTAGATAACAATAATAGATTCTATTCTTGTCTAGCTTGACCAAGAGTTTCTAAGTGGATCTTTGGAGTGGTTTTGAGGGTTGGGTTTAGTAGGATGATATAACATGATTCTAAGGGTGTTGATAGATAGTTAATAAAGTTGAGGGCAAGAGTTAAGATATAAAAAAAAAACTAGAAAATAAAGTAATGATAATTACCTAGAGATGGTTAATAAAGTTGAGGGCAAGAGTTAAGATATATAAAAAAAAAAAACTAGAAAATAAAGTAATGATAATTACCTATCTCACTAAAGCAAAGACACACTTGAAGCCACCCAACACGAAACAAAGAGAAAAAATTGCGCACCAATTGTCATTTAACAATTAAAAGTAAGTCATTACATATCATCTATATATATATGGATGAAAATAATAAAAAAACTGAGAAAAAAGAGGAGAAAATTTTAAAGGGAAGGATAGGTGGTCATTAATAGAGAAATGTGTTATCACATTCTTAGTTTTGTATTATTATTATTATTATTATAACCAGCTCATGCAAACCTCCAAATTCAAAAATTCAAACATTCTAGAAACTAAAATTGAAATTTAAATATTAAAATAAAAATTCATATATTTCTTCTTGATTAGGCTCATGTGATTTGCTTGAAAAAATGCTTGCTATTACTCACAAAAAATCAATTCATGAGGAACACCACAAAAGTTACAGGAGAGGAGAAAAGAGAAGCATACCTTACCAGATTGCAAAGAGGAGAAGAGAAGGAGAATCGCAACAGAGAGATCCAGAGGATGAGAGCAGAGAAGACAAATCTAAGGCACAAATGAGTATTGTCGAGAGGAAGAAGGAGAATCGCAACAGATATATCCAGGAATCGCAGAAGAATCGTAGCCAGGGCACGAGATGTCACAGGGGATATATCGCAAAAGGTAAACAGATACGTAGGCCGCGGGCTTTGACCCGTGGTCGACGTCTAATAGAATAGGATACACGCATATCCTCAAAAGCATGCCAACTACACATAGAAAACATTCTCAATGCGTTTTGAAAACGCATAAGCAACAAATAAACCGCCTCAAACAAACACTTAGTTGCATGATATCTCTCAGGGTGAATGTGAATCAAAACATAATCAACTTCATTAAATTCTCTTATTGACCTATTTTGATTTTCCTTCAAAACTTATTTATCATTACTTTAAGTGATCTGCTTTCTTATAATATCACAGTGGTTCTGAAAATTTTTTGACAAATAGAAGTGTTGAATCAAGGAATGCATGAAAAGAAGGACTGTCTATATCAATGGTTGTCTTCTATTTTGATGATTTTGTTTCGAAATAGTAGTGAATTTATTTTAATTTTCAACCAATAAACGTAATGAAATGTTTCTTCTATATTTTGAGGATCAAATAGCTCACTTCATACTAAATATCCATTTTAAATCCAATGATAAATTTATTGGCTCGTTGTCAATCATTGTCACTATAATCAGGCTCACAATTAGATTTTCAAATGTGTTCAAGTATTCAACTATAGGAAGACTACCTTGCCTTAAAGTTAAAAATTACCATTGTAATTTCTTTTCATGATGCCTAAGTCAATATTTGGTTTTTAACATTTATATCATTTCAACCCAGGTAAGAGTGGTAGGCCCTAACCTTTGTTTATTCGATAAGTTATTATTCCAATAAATTTGAGCATCTCCAAAATTTCACTTTATCAGAAGTAACTCTGGTAATCATCCATTTGAGCAAACCAATCTAGGTACTTGTTTGGGTCATGAGTGCCATCATAGGAGAGATCTTCAATTCAAATGTCTTAGAGAGGTCATTAAAGTCATCAATATTCCTATATGAATGTTCACTTCTACCTCTACTCCTAGGATTAAGTTGTCTTCTATAGAGTTAGTCTTGTCCTGACTCTAAGTATGAAATCATTACCTTTCAATGGTGTAAGATAAAATTGAGTTGTAGATGTAGATGTTTAATATTTTGAAGATAATTTGCAATTGATCTTTTAAGTCTCACATTTGTGCTTTATTCTCCTCAAATAGTTCCTTAGTTTTAATATTTTTTTTTTCATGAATTATAAGATATAATGAATCAACCATTTGGGTTACATCCTCAATCTAGTCTTGGGAAATAAACCTTGGTGCCATGGTATCAAATTTTTTATGATACCAAATAGGATGGTGGTGGGTGACCTTTTTGGTGAGATTAAATGATAGTTAATGTCCTAAATTTTTAGTTTAAAATCTAAACAAAACATAGTTTTTGCCGTAATTCTAATGAGTTAGTATGATATACCGATTGAAATGTTTAGACTATAATCTGGATTAGTTTAGCCTAAACTGGTTTTGAAGATCTCTTTAGGGAAGTGGTTTAAAATTGGGTAAATTAGTATACATTCTTATAAGTAGTCCCTTAGAATGTGGAGGTATGTTCTAAAGTAGATGATTAAATTTTGATAAGTTTATGTGGCTGCTAATAGCTAGATAAATAAGATTCTAGTATTATCCACCTTGAGCAAGAGCTTCGAAGTAGATCTTTATAATAGTTTGAGGGTTGGTGGGTTGAGTAGGAGATGGGATAATAGGATTTTAAGGGTCTTGAGAGGATGTTAATAAAGTTGAGAGCAAATGTTAAGATTATAACAAACAAAATTAGAAAGTAAACTAAATTTAACTATCTAACCTCCCAGAAAACAAAAACACACACTTCAACTGCAAGCACCAAGTAAAGAAAAAAATTACTCCAATTTTCATTCAATGATTGAAAATAAGCCATAATATATTAACCCTATTTATATGGATTACCAATATAAAAAATCAATATATATATATATATATACACACACACAGAAAAGTTTGAAGAGAATGATAGTTGACTGTTAATAGGGGAATGTATTAACCACATTCGCTCTTTATTATTATCATTATTTTTTTTTAAGATCAACCTATACAAGCCTCTATATTTGAAAATTCAATTTTTCTGAAAACTAAATTGAAATTTAAATATTAAAATACAAATAATACAAATTCAAATATTTCTTATCAATTGGGCTCTTTTGATGACATTGAATGGATATTTGCTTGGGCACTTGGGCTCTTGCAGTTGTTATTTTGATTTTATTTTGTTAATTCAATAATATGCTACTTCATATAGACTCTTAATTATATAGTAAATTATTTTAATCGGATTAAACATCATGAGTTTTTTTTTTCCTTTTTTCAGGATTTTTCCACATTTGGATTAAACATCATGAGTTTTTTTTTTTTTCCTTTTTTCAGGATTTTTCCACATTTTTTGGCTCGTCTGGCTAATTTTCTTTTATCTATATGTGTTGGATCTTTATGCAGTACTAAGACGAAAAGTTAGCATTTTTGACCCCCGTGAATTTTTTAGCAAGCACCGCACGTCTTCATACATAATTAAGGTGATGTGCAGCCGCTAGGCGTGTAAATACATAGGAATTAAGTCGCATGTATGTGAATCAAATAAAAGAAAAGAATAAAAGAAAAGGCAAAACCACCTGTAAAAATGCAAGGCAGATTTATCTAATTTTTAGAAAACAGTTTATAAGACCGATGGTGGTAAAGACTGTCGCCAACGATGAACATGTTAATTCAAATTGAGAATCTGAGCTAATACTTTCCCTCCCATGGCAAGGAGTTGCCTTTTTCTTAGAAAGAATAACAACTGCCAACATAGAAATTTACTGTTGGTGAATTTCAGATTCATGATCTTATACATTTGACATGTCGGCAAGATATTCCCAAGATTATAATTTTGGCAATGCAGAGAGACTAAACTCATAAATACCAAACACCAGGCCATAAATTTGCACAATCAACACATCCTACATTATATGCAACAGTAAAACCCGCAAGATCTCCAGCAAAAAAAGAAGCTATTTTTTTAGAACATGTTTTGCGTACAAGGCTAAGATATCCTTCTTGATAGGATTCTTCAGCTGCAGCAGCTGCTCTCCATAACCATGCTTTGTAAGCTCCTGCTTCAATTTAACCACAGTAAGCTTTGTATAATCCTCAGATCCCGTTTCCTGATTTCTTTGACTCCGGTTATCATCATCATCAGCCCCACCATAAACAGATCCACCATCTTCAGCTCGCTCCAGATTAGACGGGCTTAAGGTACTCTTCGATCGCTTTTTGTCTCGAAGAGTTTCGCCATCAATATCCATATCCTGAACTGATTCCGTGGCTGGGAAATAATCCATCCTCAAACGTTTCCCCTGAGCCGTCCTGAGCCGACTATCAATCGCCGTCTCCATAAGCCGAACGGACGCATGCTCCTGCTGCAGAGCATCGAGCTTGCTCTGAGTGGCTTGCAGCTGAATCGACAGAGCCTCTGCTCGATTGTTCGCCTCCGCTAGCGCGGCACGCTCTGTAGCCAATAAAGACTCGAGAACATGCACTGTACTAGACCTCTGCTCATTGCTCCTGCTCAACGATTCCTCAATTTCTCTCTCCCTCTCTTCGAGTCTTCGCTCCAGCAAATCCGCTTTCGAAGTTGCCTCCAGCTCGCACGATCGCAGCCTCGTTACTTCTTCAATTAACGTGGATTTTTCTCGCTCCAGGTTTTCGACTTGTCTCTGCGCTCTTTCAATCAATGTGAGCCGTTCCATGGCCAAGCGACGAGCCTCGTTCTTTTCCTCTTGAGCGGCAGCAACTTCGGCACGAGCAATGTCAGCTAGTTCTATTGCTTTCTTGGCTTCGTTCTCGGCATCTTTGCTTCTTCTTTCAGCTGCATCAAGATTTTTGCATTCGGAAAGATATTTCTCCTGAAAGTGATTCTTCTGTTGCTCGAGCAGTTTGCATTCTTTCTCGTGAGATTGGGCTCTAGTTTCTGTGGAATCTAGAATCTTAGTTAGTCTGTTAGTCTTCTCGTTCAAAGCTATATTTTCCAATTCATGGCTCTTAGCTCTTGATTCAGCAGCCTGCATATAATCTTCACTATTAGATAATAGCAAAAAATCAATATAGACGAATAATAGAAATTAAAAAACTGAATGTACCTCCAGTCTAGAAATTGAACTGCTAGCCTGCAGTTCAGCTTGTTCAATATTGGCATTCAGCTTTCTGATTTCCACATCCTGTTTCATTATAACAAAAACAAAGAGGAGGTTTGAAGAGATTGTACATAGCAGTTGCGAGTTGAATTCAGATTTGACCTGAAATTAACATGACCCGAAATTGACCTAACTTGAACCTGACCCGAAACTGACCTGACTTGAACTTGACCCGAATATTAAACGGGTCAAAAGTCCAACTCGCCTTCAACCCACTGAATCGAATCCAACCCATATAGCCCATTTAACATAAGCCATAATAAATATTTAGGTCAAATTCAGTTGAAAAGCTGATTTTTGACGCAATCTTGGGCTAGCGAGTCAATTTTCAGGTCGATTTTGGGTTAGTGGACCAGCCCAAACCCGATCCGAAAAATTAAATGGGTTCGGATATCTAACCCAAACCGAACCCGAAATTTATTCAGGTCAACCCGAACCTGAATTTTTTGAGTCAAGCTCATATAGAGTTGGCCTGTCCAGAAATTTTTGACACTCATAATTGTCCGCGATCAAATAATGCTAAGAAAAAAAAATACCTTTTCTACTAGTCTTTTTGAAAATTCGGCTCTTAAAGCATCTTCTCGCTCTCTCGCCTTTTTATTTGAATGCTCCAATGCCTGCGCTGCTCTATCACGAGCTTCTTTAGCTTCAGCCAGAACAAACTCGTATTTCCGCCTCCATTCCGTCGCCTCTTCTTCAGCCGAATTTGCCTGTTCACGGACAGCGACTAATCTTCCTTCAGCAGCAGTACTCCTGGTCTCTAAGGCAGCAATCTCAGCCCTCAATTTCTCTTCCTCTGCCTTTTGTTCCAATAAAATGCGGTCATATTTCATTTTCCAGCCACCAGACTCGCCCTTAATGACCTCCAAAGACTTGGATAAACTCAAACAGCGCTCCTCCAATGTGCTGCATTTACTCTTCAGGTTTGTGACGTGAATAGAATAATCTTCTGCAATTCTTTTCTTATCAGAGATGGCATCTTCGTAACGCTTTAAATAGTCGGCTCTGTGCTTCTCGTTCGACTCCACTTGCTTCTTCAGCAATTCCAATTTGTCATCATTTGAAGCGCATCTCAACTTAAGAGCAGTTCTTTCAGATTCAATTTTATCCAAATGTTTTTTGAAAAGGTCCTTGATCGGCCCCTCCAAACTATGACAATAACAAATTTTACTTGAGAAAAAGCTGTTTGTTAAAATTTGCAAAAAGAATAGGATATTGTCATGGATTTTTATATTGATAATGCCAATCCTCAGGAATCCATCACATCAAAAAGCGTAGCTGACAAAATTACGATTACATACTGACTAAATTAGTATTTTACTTTTCAATGAGGTTTCTGGTAGAGATAGAAGTACTCTCAAACTATACGTCATGCCACCACAAGGAGTGCTAATAAGCCATTTCAACGTTGCAGCCTATTGCCAAAAATGAAGGAAGATTTACATACATACCACTCAATTCCTTTTTATTTACATATCCAACACCTTAACTTCAATTTTTTACATATATGCCACCTTAACTATGCATGAAAAGGTGTCTCTCTCTTTTGGTATTTTTTATGCAATGTGAAAAAATTTTGGTGGTACAAATGCAAGAAGTATAGTATAGATGTTAGATACGTAAATATGTAGAAATTGGGTGGTAATATGCATGCAAATGCCCGAAAAAAGAACAAGATGAATACCAGTGCTGTACAAAGGAAACCAATTTTTCGCATTTTCCAGGGCCAAAACAGGATGATTTATAATCAGCAACTAAACCATCCAAAACCTGCAGAGACATTCAACATTACCTTTAGTGCTCCATCTAACTGAATATCAAAGGCACACAGGTTCAAAAAAATTCAATCAGTGTTCCACAAGGAAATTTTTTTTTAAATGAACATAATTTAAGAATTGTATCGAAACCCAATTGGTCATTGGATTACGCTAGTCAAACTGAGTTCTAAACTAGGATAACTACTGGAGTTGGCATAAAACAACAATTCTCCTAAATTAGAGAAACAAGAGCGTTGATGGCATAAAAGCACTATATTCGAATTAAAAAAAAAAAAGAAAATTTGCATACATACCATTGAATTCCTATCTATTTACATATTTAACCCCAAAACTTCAATTTTTAGATGCATATCAGCTCACCTATGCATAAAAAGGTGTATTTTATTTTTTAAAATTAAAATGTTTTCATGTGATATGAGAGATTTGAAAGGTAAAAAAAAAAAGAAAAAAAAAAAGAAAAAAAAATTGTTTAAGAGTTCAGCAAGTTCTCAAGTAAAAAATGGAAGGACTTAAAACAGCCAACACAAGATGTAGAATAAATTATAGGAAAAAAATTTACCCGAAGTATATTTTCAACTTTTGCATCAGGGACTTGACATGCAGCACGTAGCTTTGATTCCATGGTCTGTAAAATTCTAGAGCAGTGCATATCCGCCTCGAGGAAAGCATTCTTTGTGTACTCCTGCATCATCAATACAAACTTAAAAGACGCAAAGAAGAATTGAACTAATCTCACGCATTATTGCAAAAGCTATTCTGTCAAGACAATAAATCTTTGTAAAATCTAAAGATTTAGCTAGAAAGTAAAAAAAAGAAAAAAAAAAAACTGATGCCCAAAAGCAGGATATCAAGCAAAATTTAGGTTAAAAAGGGTACACTTTGTGAAACTTTAATAAGCAAATTCGATACACAAACACGACCATACCAATGTGTCGGGAACCAGATGGCATCACCCCTAAATTTCCAAAATGAAGGTCAAGGGTTTGATAGATGTAAAAAAAAATAAATGAAAAAAAGAATGGAGAATATCATTGCTAGCCACAACCTAGTAAGCATACCATTTCTAATTTCTTTGATTTAGTTATCCTATTATATCGCTTTTGGAAGTATGCAGTTTAAAATTACTTATTATGCTCCTTATGATTCATGCGATTTTGTAAATCAGATTATTTGTTTTATATTGAACTGTTGGCGGCCTTGAAAGTTGCATTCTGCATTAAAATATTGAAAGTGTATAAAACAATGCCTCAGGCACTTGACAAAATGTGACCTTTCTTTCACTATAAATGAAAAAAGAGCATGTTGCTTTTTCAGAGCAAAATTGCTATGTAAAGCTGTATGAGCACATCAATGTGCTGCCGTTTTTCCATCTTTAGCTGTTAAGTAATTTTAAAATGACTTTTTTTCGGGGAATCCATGTTTAATAGAACTAAAAAAGCAAAACAACATGGGTTGCTGGTAGCCAGTAATACATTTTTTTACTATTCAGAAAATAATGATACATATGATAAAACATAAAACTATAGTTTGGGCTTAATATATTATTTCGATGCAAGTATTAAAATCATTGTTTTATTATATAAAATAATCAATGCATGAAATTATGCCAAAATTTTCCCGTTATGCAGTACTTGTTCTTATCATGTTGTCTCCATGTATCCTTTTAATACATGTACTTCATAGGATACACCTAGGATTACAACCCAAAATAATCTCTGCATCAATTTAGTCTCAAATTTTCACATTTCTTCAATTCAGTCCCTTGACCACATATATATATATATATATATATATATGTGGGCAAGAGACTGAGTTGAAGAAATGTGAAAATGTGAGACTAAATACATACATACATACATATATATATATATATCTGTGTGTGTGTGCTCGCGCGCGCTACACGTTTAGGCTCATTGGTGCGACCTCTGGCGTAAGTCCCTCGGGTCGGGGGTTTGAATCCAGTGGCGCGGGCTCTTCGGATCAATTAAAACACACCGAGTTTCGACCCAAATGGGGGAAGCGTTATTTGGTGCCCACTGGACCAAATAACGATTCCCTTTTAAATATATATATATATATAACCCAAGGGCTAATATATTAAAGAGAAAATGATACAGATAGTTTGTATGAGTAGACATAAAAGTAGACACTCAACCCACACGGTACAACACACAAAAAATTCAAAAAAAAGGAGAGGGTACATATAAAATAAAATAAAAACCAAACCACCAGGGAGCGGAATTAGTTAGGGACGACCCAATTTAGTCCTGCCTCTGCCTCTGCCTCTAGTTCCTGGAAGGGAGCCAACTAACAAATTGGTGATGCGCGTACCATTACCCGAAGTAACCAAAACATCATCCATTAGATTTATTAGCTCAAGTAGATCTCCATTATTCTTCTTCCTCCTGGAAATGTAAACATGTCATTCCTCATCCGAAGATTGATCATTCAGATGAGGTGGTGTAGCTATAGCAGAAGGATTGTCAACGGTTGTGCCCATAATAGTTTCAAGTATATGTGAAGTATGAATTGTCGCCTCTACACCGGATACTTCCTGAAGATGAAGAGCTGCAAGGTTCTCTTGATTAACAATCCGAACACTATCCTTTGTAGGTAAGGATCCTTTAGTATTGTTTTTAAGAGGGTTTGAAGGTGTAGGTTGCCCAGCAGAGCCATCCAACATCACATCAATCGCAGAAATAGTAACTGGATTGTCAAGGGGGTTCACAGAAGTAATTAGATCAGTCACCAAATCTTGTCTTGTGGTAGTTTCCTCCCCAGGTGGAATATGTCCAGAGCAGTGAGGTTAGATCCCTCCTTATTCACTTGAACTTTAAATTTCAAATTAGGATGGAACTTGTAGCATTTATCAAGGGTATGCCCAAACATCTTCCAATGGGTACAATAAGGAGGTCTGTGTTCCATGACGATTTGTTGCCAATATCCATTATGAGTTGTGTCCAGGCCAGACTTCGTCCAGCCAGACTTCAGTAATATCAGGTAAAGTAATATCCCTTTCCACAAGTATTATAGCCACAGAAGATCTGATTAGATTAATAGTGGGTAGATCTAGCTTCATAGGGTCCCCAAGTATAACCCCAATAGAGTAGAGAACCTGATGATTAAAAAAGTGCAGCTTAAGACCAGGTAGATTAAACCATACTGGTACAGTGTGAGTTTCATGATTTGGGTCAAAATCAGGAGACCACTTGAGTAACTTCATTGACTCGCCTGCAATATTAGGATATTTTTTTGGAGAAAATCCGGATATAGTCTTCAGCCACGGTTAATTGAATCAACACATGTCTCTCATCCATGAGTCTCACTTTCCACTTGCCTACTAGATTTAGATCATCAACACTCCTTTCTGATATATATATATATATATACACACAAAGAGGGAGAGGGAGAGAGTTCCTGTTAGTATTTTATGGGATGAAAATTTTTCCCTCTAGTTTTGATCAATCTCTTGTATCCTTAATTCCTCAAAAGTTATATCATTTACAAGTTTTTGCGCTTCAAATAATTGATATTGCTTTACGTAATCAAATATGACTAAAGAAATTAATTTTATATGTAAAAAAAACTGGAGTGCATGGTTACTTGAACCGAGGGTTCTGGATAGCTTTGAAATTCATGGGTGCTATAATAGAAAGCTCAAGACAGAAATGAAATTATATTTATCATAGTAAATAAATTATTCACATAGAGTTAGGAATGTTCTTTTCAATCCCTTACATCATGGGTTATAAAGCTCTACAGTCTTTTTTCCATTTTATTTTGTTTAGATTAGTTTCTTTGTCAGGTATCAAACATTTTGAATCAATGAAGAATATTATTTTTTTCATCTCACATCTCGACATGAATCAGAGCACAACCACTTTTATTCTTTTTGCGTCTCATACATCCATCGTTTCCAAGCCTTGTATCTCTTATATCTCAACCTATCATCCTCTTACCTAGTTTCACTGCCTCATCGCCTCATCATATTTGTTGTTTTCTATTGCATCTCAAATTTCTGTTCTCAACCGATTCTTTTTTTTTCTAATCTTTGTCACCATTGCTTGCTTCTCACCTTCATTGTCTTCACTTAGGTCTCCTCTCTTTGGTAACCATAAAAAAATGGCATCAACAAGGAGTTGCATGACTGCAATCTCCTCGACTAGACACCAAAAGGTGCCACTATTGATCATCTCCGCTAGACATTTGTCCTCACACTAGAATCAACAATTAGATGACATAGATGACAGAGGGCTCCTTGATTTACTCTTGAGTTTTCAAACTTCAACAGCCATTGCTCAACACTACAAGGAAAGAACAACCGACTCCTCTTTGTATTGCCTGATAAGACCGCCGATAATAAGCCTTATCAATCTCATTGATCACTATATTCATTATTGTTTATAGCGGTTGACCTTGAAGCTATTGTCCATTTCTGCTTAGTTAATGCCTTCTTCATCCTTAGCTCTCCCCTCTCCAATACCTCTACACTATCGGTCTCGCTCGCCATTGTTGATGTTTGTAATTCACAAATGTTGTTGCTCACCCTTTTTTGCTCTTTTATTGCTCATCCGGAAAAAGAAAAATAAATGTCAAACCCTACTGATGGTCCCACGTCAAATCAAAATAAGATGATCGGTTGAGTACTCTACTGAAGAACATTGAGAAACCTTCAGATACTAATTCATTGTCTCATTTTAGTGTGTTTTCTGCCTCTATTGGATTACATGTTCAAAAGAAAACCTTTGTCAATTCTTGGGCGTGAATTCAGGAGCTATCTATTTATAGGGCTTTAAAAATGATCCTGGTTGCATTCTTTTTTATCAAACAAGTAAACATTGTTGCATGTCGACCGATGATCAAACATAACCCCAACGTATTTCGTCATGCAGCATGAGTTAAGTAGTGTTCATTGATGCTTGGTTGCATTCCTTTTATTATTTCAAATTTTCTTTTGTTATTGTTTTTAATCTTACATTGAGGATAAATTCAAAGAATTTTTTTTAAGGCAAGTCAAATTAAAATATATTTATTTTTGTAGTTTAATCCCTTTTTCATGTCGATTGCTTGTCTTCTCGAGTTTGCCTGCTTTTGGTGCTTAAAGAAGCAGATGTCTATGCATTTTAATGAGTCTTGACAAATGGCATGACATGAACTTATTTTTAACTTGTGCTAAGAGTTCTACGGTATTGACTAAGTCATATAATTTATAATAATTTATTAAAAGTTACAGTTTGATCAAAGCACAAAGAAATCACCTTAGATAAGTTCAAATTTGAGCTTTATGTTCAAAGCATGTATTTGACCTTGCATTGGCTTTAAATTAACAAATAGCTTGCTTGACGCAGGGCAAGTCATTACGGCGAGACCATCTCCTTAGTAAAAGAGAACCTTTTTTTGTTGAAAAGTCAGTAAAAGAAAACTTTTACTAGCCCAAATTTGTACGAGATATGAAGAGGCGCATCTGAAGTGTAGGGCATGTCACTTGGCAAGACTCGGGGGAAAAACACAATTTTGTACACAACCTTTCCTATTCCAAAGGCACTCTAGTTGGCCTAGAGCACGGATTTTGTGATGGGCTTACAGTGGACACAACGGAGTAAGGATTCTGTCATGATTGTGGGTGACCATTTTTACAAGAAGACATTGTATCCCTTGTCATAAGACGATCGATGCATAACA